TTAAAATCTGCCTTCCATATATTAGGTTGGCCCTCAGTTCTCTTCTGGCGTTTAGAGAAGAGCGAGTAATCCCATAGTAGCGTAGTATGGTCACTTTTCCCGAGATGTGCATTGGAATACACTTCGTCGATATTAGAGACAAATTTCTTTTATCATAATGATGAATGTATCGTCCGCATCCGTCTGCTGGCCTGGCGGACTGCAAACCAGGGCCATATGAAGGCTTGGGCGGTTTGGCACTTTCAAGTAACAACTGAGTATTTCACAATCAATGTGCCAAAATGGGGAAGGCTCAACTCTGAAGTAGTCGATGTCATCTCGTAGAAATATCTCAATCCCCCTCCCCTCCGTTCGTTTCGGTCCATCCAAAGATTCTTAGTTAAATTAGAAGCTCTGGGACTTCGCAGTTTCCTTACTGACTTCAGTAAGTCATGCCTATCTAATCGTAAACACAAGGTCTTAATGGGATCTTCGATTTTCAATGAAAGCTGTAGGTTTATGTACATTTTTGATTTTTCACTTTAAACTTTCTTGTACATCTGAGTGTTTCTGTACTGTTGTTTACATTTGCTAAAATACACACACCTGGTTTCAGCTCGAGAAAAAGAGCGTCTTTTGTGTTCGTATGCCGCTTGATGTCGTTGTTTCGTTGATTGCACTCATTCGCCTCAATCGCATTTAGTCCATCGACACGAAACGTTTATATCTTTCGGTTATATCTAACTGGACGTAAATTCACCTGAACAACAAGTTTCCGTAACTGAATTCGTCTCGGGATTTTACCCAAAACATTCACTCTACAATAGCCGGTTCTGGAGAGAGCTTTATTTTTCATGAGTATATACAATTATTTACCTTTTGCCGTTTTTCCTATATTCTTTTTGCTATCGTTATTTGTCTTGTAAGAAACACAGCATCTCCCGATTAGAGCTAAGTATCTATTATTCTTTGTAGTTTTAATTGCCGTTTACACTACAAAGCCCTAGTAAAAGTACATAGTGTCCTATAAGGAACCGTTTTATGTCCTCTTTTGTTTCTGCTTTACATAACTGATATCTCGTCGGCCGTAAATATTCTCAACCTGTTATGCTGATGACCTCAAATGCGTACATTCATTCATTATATCTAAGACCCTTCACTGACTGGAGCAAACCCATGCTGACTTCATTGCTCTCAATTCAATTCAATTCAATTATTTTTATTAAGGACCCGTCGGGGTCCCATCAAAGCAAGTAAAAATAAATTTACATACAAATTTTAGACGAGGTAGGCAAAATCTGTACAAAGTGCAATGCATAGTTTTTGAGATTAGAAGTCCGTTAAGCAAAATGAAAATGAAAAAAACGAGGGGTAAAAAAACTCCAAATCAAAATTTAAAAATGATTGTAGTAATTTAACTAGAGAAAAAAAAACCCTCGGAAAAATAGCATCAAAAAAATACAGGGAGGACTGGCCTGCATGTGTCATGGGCCTGAAAGACTACCCCAACCAGTGGACTTTCAAGGCACTCTTATGACTGAATGTACCACCATCAAGGATTAGGTTTAAGCTACACATGTTTCTGACTTCAATGGAGACTGACAGTGCCCTAAGAGCGCTATAATAAACCTATTTTATTCTATTCTAATCTTGATCTCTCGCCACACGCTGACAGAATTACGGCCAAAGCTGCCCAGATTTGGGGATTTATTTCTCACTATTTTTTATTTTTCTGAAATTAAATTAAGACCCTGTCGGATGCTTGTACTTCCAATTATTGAGTATTATTGTCCATTCTTCTGTTTGATGAACATGGCTAGTCGTCCAAAAAATTGAAAATCCTCAAAAACATTTTACTATAAGACTCTTAAGCAAGGCACATCCAAATATTTTCTACACAGATAGATGCCAGCTTACTAATCTAAAAAGGTATATGCGTTCGAAGACTAGAATCAGGCTTCTGTCTCCTCGTTCGCATTACTTATAGTCCAAGCCATGCTCGGATTTCAGCCCTTACCTCCGCTAGCCGCCCACAGAGTCTCGTGATTCTTATTTGATTATACCTCCTACCACTTCGTAGACCTCCAAGCACCATCTTCGTTTCCAAGTATAGTCTTCCGCTCATTGACACTCTCACTCCGAGAGATCGGTCTTATGCCACGCGCAACTCCTGCATGGTGATTCCGCCGCCTCTTTGTACTACATCTAAGCGCTCCCTCTTCTTTGCTTCCAAATATGCCTTCCTTTGGAATA